TGGCCTCAAACTCACAGGAATCCGCCTGCCTCTGCCTCCCAAGTGCTGGGATTAAAGGCATGCACCACCAAAGCCCCCTGTTTCTTAAGACAAGATCTCTCACTGAACATTGACTCATAGATTCCATTAGGTGTGATCCAAGTCTCAGCCTGTCTCCACCCTCACAACTGAGGCTCCTCATGCATGTCAATCCTGACTTTGATGTGGGTGCTGTGGGTCTGATCTCAGATGGCCAGCAAGCACATTAGAGATGGAGCCATCTCTCCAACTCTTGCTGCTCAGCATTTGATGACATCATTCAGCCTCTATCACAGAACAGCCTCTAGAATGGCGTTTTAGTCAGGCTCTATCACAGAACAGCCTCTAGAATGGTGTTCAAGTTCTAAGAAATTTCTTTGGATTAATAGAAATACAGAATTTATGAAGTTACAAAATTCTTTACAAGGCCATCAGCATCTAACACCATAGGGTACAGACAGGGTGTCGTCTGTATCAGATTATTTTTTACCCTCTGCTGTAGATTTTCTCAAACATGTCTGGACATAGGAATTGCTTGTTTTAGACACACTTGCACACACACACACACACACACACACACAACACTCCATGTCACTTTTACTAACAAGATAAGTATTTCTGAGAGTAAGATTCTAAAGATTTTTTTTAATCTCCCTTATTCTGAAACAGCAGATACTATCTTTGGGACCTCTGGCCAGAAAGTATATAATGTGCACAGTAACAACAACAACAACAACAACAAAATGTTTGTTGGTCTGGGGATATAGTTCAGTGGTAGAGTACTTGTCTAATAGGTACAAGTCCCTATATGCATGCATGCATATACACATATATTTATTGTTGGCCAAGCCAGTAGTTCTAGAAAGCACAAACTATATGCTCTGCTTATAAAGAATGTATATTATTCTTGCTGCTTTTGGACCTATTTGCCCAACAACATTTGATTCATGTTTGCAATATAGAAAAGGCAATTAAAGAAAGAGATACAGCATAGAGGTCTTACAACAGTAAGACCCCTTCTGCACACTCATTGGGGCTGGATATGTCTGCCGGCTGTAGAGTGCCTCCTGAGTAAGAGCAAAGCCATGCCCATACCCAGCACTCCTTGAAGACCAGTGAGGTTGCTGGAGTCATACTTGTGACCCTGTTACTTTGGAGGAACAGCTACAGTTTTAACTTCCATTAGTGAGAGCCTACTGTGGAGAAAAATAGACTTCTCCTTAGAAGTTCAGCGTGAGACCACAGCACACATTTCCCAGTTGGTATGCTATTAGGATATGTGGTTCCATGATATCCCATGCTTGAGAATACCAATCCTTCCTCCTTTGCATTCTCCTCTATTTCTCACCTACTATAATCCCGGGCTTTAATTCGAACTGTTTTAAGCCATAACACGGTACCTAACACTTCCCTGTACCTCAACGCTAGCCAATGAAGAGTGACAACAGACACACAGTGCAATGAAAGCATTGTCCTCAGGATCTCTGCAGCTGTGGTTTAATGTGACTACCTCTGTAAATGCAGGTGGAATCTGCAGGTCTACGCTTGGGGGCTGTGTTTATATGCCCCATGCATCCACGAGAGGGATGCATGACAATGTTCATTAACCCTTGCTGTGTTGAACTGCACTTTGTATCTTCCCATCCTGTGCATGGCCAGCTCTCTTGCCATAGCCCTCAGCCCATGATTCTGTGCATTAACCCATTGCAGAAGTTTTACTGTACACATGCTGTGTTTTCTAACTAACAGCTTGTTACTGAATATACACAGATATCAGTACTCACCCTCGTCACACCATAGGCGGAAATCAGTAGTGTCTTTCTTTACTTCTGCTTTTGTGTACAAAGGCTAAATCTTGACTATTTCTGTAGCTACTGGATATTTTTCCCTCATCGTGCAAGACTTTGTATCCCAGCAGCCTTAATATAGTGTGGACACTCACAGAGGTGAGAACCTTTCCACCATTCCAGCCATACTTTACTTCCCAGAGAACCGTCATATTTGTCACCATGGCTTAAAGCATGAATATGTGGATGTGAGCTTCTGAGAATGTCAGTCAGTAAGGGACATGAATACATCAACATTCTACTCTGTCCTTTGATATGCAAAAATCATCTGGATCCAAGCGTAATGAAATGCACAACCTTGTTGTTAAAGGTCAGAAAGGTCTGTCATTCATTTCCTGCTACCCATCGATTGGAAGAGAAATTAAAAATACTGTTAGAAGAGAACAAGGGCAAGAAAATTGAATATGTGAATGTCACTTATAAAAGTTAAAGGTATGTGTCTATGTGTGCGCCTGTGTGTGGGCATAAGCATGTGAATGCAGGTGCTTATGGGATTTAGAATAAGGCATTGGGTCCCTTTGTGAGCTCCTGACATAGGGGGTTGGGGACAGAACTTGAGTCCTCTGTGAGAGCAATGCACAAAAATGTTGAGCCATCCCTGTAGGCCCTGAGTAGTCTCTTTATGTTGAAAATGCATGCTTTCCTATGGTCCAGTTTTCATACTGTCTCACGCTGTTTTCAGTATTTGCTACTTCCTCCTGCTGACACAATTATTCTCCTTCTGTTTCTCCAGCAGTCAGTTTATGGGGAAGACACATTGTTCATTTCTTTTCTTTGATTAAAATAGATACATTGCAAATGTGATCTACAGAACCAGAGGGGTCTTTCTGGAAGCCATGCAGCCATGACTTAATTAATACTCATCCGTGCTGTCCATGGCTTGCGGTGCCTCTGACTTGACACTAGACAGCCAATGGAGCCAGTCTCTCATTTGGCATCTGGGAGAGTCCCACAGCCATCTTGTACTAAAGGTGGAGATCTCTATCATGAGGCTCATTTTGCATCACACACTAGAATGAGAGGAAATTATTCACACAGAGCCTCATGTTGCCCCCGGAAAAGCTCAAACCAGCTATTTATCTGGTAATTATCTTAATCTTAGGATTCTCCTGTCTTTACCTCCTGAGTGCTGGTATTATAGGCATGCACCACATATGTGGCTTATGTGATGCTGGGAATTGAACCCAGGGCTTTCTGTATGCTAGCCATGCACTCTACCAACTCAACTGCATCCCTGGCCCCAGAGGACTATTAATTTTATAATATCTGTTTTCATAGAACTTCTAAAGTTTCTAAACATTTTTTTCTGCAAGTTTAAAATGTCATCCATTATGCAGATGGAAGTTTGCATATAAAATGTATATAAACAAATTAACTATTTTGGAAGCATAAGTTGACTAGGAGACAACTTGTCAATAACTAAGAAAAGGAGTCTAAAGATCACTGACAAACATTCTCAGATGTAATCTGTCAATCCCTTAGGTTTTGAAGGACAACAGTCAGCCCATAGGCCACTATATGATGATTGTATTGCCATTCATTTATTCATTTAAAATATTTAGCAAACATTGATGAGTTACAAGTTATCTAGAAGTGAGGTAACCCTGAAGAGGATATACCCATTAGTCCTTACATTTTCTAATAGGAAAAAAGAACATGACTACCAAGCTTGCTTCTTGGCATTTTCTTTGTCTGGAGTGACATTTCGTGATCTCTCTCTATTTATTAACTACCTCTGACCTTCACCCTCTAATGCCACACCCTCTAATTCCCTTGGACTTAAGTTTAACTCTTTAATGTCCAGGCACTTATCTTTTGATACAGAACATGGTCTACCAACTTTAAGGTAACACAATAACCTAACCCCATCTGAGAATCAGTCAAAACCTGAGGCCATATGACTGGTAATGTCGTATGAGAAAGACAGGGGGGAGGCTACTGTCTGTGACAATGGCTGGGGATAGGGAGGAGGAAGGGTGTTCTCTCTCCGTCTTCTAATCAGTAGGCCTGTGCTTGCTTCTGTTATTTATTCACAGATTCATCAGTAAAGGCTACCCTCATTCATTAGACTATTGAATGTCAGAGGTGAAGTTTTTCTCCTAGAAAGTGGTGCCTTGTTAGGCAATCATGGTGGCCCATGCCACGGCCCTAAACGCTTAGAGAGGCAGAGGCAGAGGCAGGAGGACTGAGATTTAAAGCCAGCTACATAGTGAGATTCTATCTTGATAAAAGGCTTGTGACTACAGATTAGTCTAATTATTATTTCAGATGAGCTCACACTTGTGACATTCAAGTTCTTCTAGGTATGTAATTTAACTGAAAATATTCTATAAATGTTCTCTATCCATGGCTCAAAGGGCAAAGTACTCAAGAAAACTTGTTTTCTTTACCCTAAGAATGTTGTCTTAGAAAAACCACAACATGATTATGTACAAGAATTGAAGAGTTCTGTATGGCTGCCGCCTGCTGCCTGCTGCCTTCTGCCTGCTTAGGAAAGCAGCAACTGTCTCACAAGGATGGTTAATGTCAGATGGAAAACTCACCCAACATCAGCATCAGGAAACATTTGAGCTTCACACATGTGCAGTGTACTAATGTATAAGTATGTGGTTTGTATGATTGCATGTATGCCTGTGTGTGTTTATGTATGTGTAGGTGTGTGTGTGTATTTTTGAACATTTAGATGGTATCATGGCCAACAGTTTGAGAGCCTCTGTTCTAGAACATGGACTATTTTGGAAGAAGCAGGTCTGCCAATACATTGACTTCAGTCCCTAAAGTCCATATTCAGATTTCAGAGTTCAAGAACTCAAGCTGTTGTACTTGGTCATAGACTCAATGGAACCTAGTAAGTAGATTAACATGGGTTTTCTTACCCATGATCCTCTGCTGCGTGTTCCTCCTCTATGTACCCTAGAACAACTGTTAGATTTCACCCCAAGTTCAATGACTGAAAGATAGTCTGTCTCCTAATTTGTACTTTTTATAACAAATCTGGAAGGAATCGTGCCTATGAGATTCCAGAGCATCCCAGAATTTTGTGGTTCATTTAGCTTACATTGCACCATCTAGGCAAGGCAAAGCTGGAGGTTAGGACTCCACTTCATGGACTTCAGACATGCTAGACATACATGTTTACTGAGTGAAGAAACTAAAGAATGCCGATACACTTAAAACCATCTCTTTGTAATGATAAACCAATCCTCGACATTTGCATAAAAGTGGAAAGAAGCTGTCACATACATTTGCGACTTCATAAGACCCGCTCAGCATCTGTTCCATGTAACGACTTAGATCTGTGATTCTCTTGTGATCCGAATCTGTAAACGGTAAGTGCCACCAGTGAGGAAACCTGTTTTAAAAGAAAGCAGTGATACTTCAGTCAGTAGGGAAAGTAGCTTCTTTTGGGTGGTCACACAGTTAACAGCTGCACTAGTGGAGGGCCAATAAAAACATTAGAAATCCTGGCCATTTCATAGACACCATTATAGTCATTTGTGCTACTGTAATCATCACTGATATCAACACTAATTTAATTTAATGTTAATTTAATATAATCTTTATTACTGTATTTATGGCAGATCACAAATGTTTCCTCCCTGTACATGTAGCAGCTAATACATAGTTTCTAAGATTAATGACCTACGGTTTTCCAAAGAGTTCTGATTGTATTGTTTCTTACGGGCTCACGACAGACATTATTGCATGATATAAATTAGATGTTTCATCCAGTAGCATCTGCTTCCATCTGGCCTTAGTCTTGTGAGTTAGAGCCATCCTGTCCCCAAGAGTCTGACCAGACAGCTTCTCTGTCATCTACCTGAAGACGGTCTTGGTGAGTTGGGCTTAGTATCAGTTGTTTGGTGGGATGACCTGTTAGTGGTCTCATCTGGTAAAGTAATTTCATGCTTGACTGCATCTTTTCAGAAACTTACTGTTGCCTTCTGTAATACTTTCGCCTTTTGGTTCAGATGAAGGCCTGCCTACAGAGCTCACTGGAAAGAGGCATGAGAGGGGTTGTGAAGCTTTGTCCTCAAGCACACAGAAGCAGGTGGTGACCTCCCTGTTAGTTCTTTTTCATTTGTTTCTTTTGTTTTTGTTTTTGAGACCAGGTTTCTCTGTGTAGTCCTTTCTTTCCCGGAACTCACTCTGTAGACCAGGCTAACCTCGAACTCAGAGATCCACCTGCTTCTGCCTCCTGAGTGCTAAGATTAAAGGTGTATGCCATCACCACCTGGAATCCCTGCTACTTGTTAAGGAAGCCGTGTCAAGTACAGAATGGATAAATCTATATATTAAATTATTACCTAGTAACTAACATTTAATATTTTAAAATAGTCTATCAATCTAAGGATTTAAGTATTAAGATTGTTTTTGTCTGTAACTAGTTATGAAAATTAGTACCAATATATAATTAGTCTATAATATAAAAATAATTACACACACATGTGGTAGCAGTTTTGGAAATGATCTTGGCAATAAGGATGCTTCAGTTAGTTTTAAACATAACTCACATATCTATATGCAAAACTTCCATATTGGTATAATGAAGCAATTCGATCTTTTCTGATGTTTTACAGATACTGGAAATTCTAAGTATATTTATGTGCACAGAATTGAGGAATTGGGCCATACGCGTGCCATCCAACCCATCTGAAGCCGGCCTACCACATGCCACATTGACATCCGTTGTGGAAAAGTATATTTATACGGTTTTAACTGACACCGTTGTCACATTCCCTCTTGGCTTTGTTAAGGCAAAAGAGCAGGCAAAAGAAAATAACAGCAATATATGTTTGTTTGCTTGCTTCTTGTGTTTTTAAGTCCTGATTTGAAAATGGAACTATTCTCATAATTAGGGTAATTTGTATTCTCCATGCTAACACCAGGGTTTTCTTTTCCTTTTGGTCTGGTCCTGCATGTTTTTTCCCATCTTGGGAGGATAGAGAATGAAGTTCTGAGGCATGAAGAAATGTAGGAAGAGGGAAAGAGGCTTGCCTTCTCCAGCAAGTGAGTTCAATGAAAACCATTCATTCTAAGAAAATCTCCATGCCTGTGTACTCTTGGAAGGTATGGGGGGGGTACATATGGCTCGTTTGGAAGACCTCTGTGGCAGGCTATGACTAATTAGAATTCCATCCTTCCTCACTGTGGCTTTCTTATTTTATTTTATTTTTTCCTCAGATGGGATTTACAGAAGTCTCTTAGGGCTTCCCTCAGTAAATGTAGGAGTCAGAGAAAATCTTGCCCTTGTCATCATCCATATGTATGATCTCCAGTCTTGGCCCCTAAGGGAGAGTGAGCCCACAGGAGCTGCTCAGGGCACACAAGGCTAAACGTCCCTCCCACAGTGGGTTCCTTAGATGGTTTGAATATCAATTTAACTTCGTCACCAGGCAGCAGCCGTGTGCAGAGCAGAATCCTAACTAAGGCTGGAAACTGAGAAGGGGAATGTGGAAAGAGATGCTCACACTTGTGATGTTCCCCCCAGCACACAAGAGGCCTGGGAGGGCAGCCTTTAACAGAGGTAATTCATACTCTCAAGTGACTGCTAGTAGGTATGATGACCACCCCGATGCTGAACTTTGCCGCTATTTGAAGATTTTTGTTCGTGTTTCTTTCTTTTTTGCTTTCTTTTTCTGAGCCTCCACAAAACAATCCTAAACCTGTGCATAGAAGTTTCCAGAATGAATGCACTTTCCTCTCATTCCCTAACTGTTGTCTTATGTCTTATCTTCCAGAAAATGTTCATGTTTCAAACTGTCTATGTAGGGAATAGGGTTTTTTCTGCCCGCCGCCAAGTCTTGTCCCGCCCCCGCGCCAGCCCCAAATAACACACAGAGACTCTGTATATGATATAATTTTGTTGGCCAGCTACTAGTTTCTTATTGGCTAGCTCTGTGTTAATTATTAACCCATTTTTATGTATTTCCACGTGGTCTTACCAGCGAGAGGCGGCTGGCGGTTCTAGTCTCTCCAGACTCTCCATCTTGACCCTCCTTCCTACTTCCTTTTTCCTCCTTGTCTCCTAGTCCCTCCTATCTTCCTTTCCTATTGGCGAACAGTGCTTTATTCATTAACCAGTATGAGAAACATATATACATAATGGCATCTCCCATCATGTCTATGAGAAGAACAAGCATACATTTTCAATATTCTAAAATACCTCTTTACCTATTGGCGACTTGTATTTATGTTTTAGAAGGTGACTAAACTAGTCCCCATGTGCAAAGCAGGTCATATCATAAGTGGCCACTAAAACATTAAAGTTTGGTTCATTTAACAAAAACCCCAATGCAGATGAAAGAAAAATCAAAATTAGATTTATCTGACTGCTAATATCACAATTTCTGGGGGAATTCATTATTTTAAAGTTAAAATACAACTTTTCTATACATCAAAATCAATGACCTAAATTTGCCTCATTTTAATTAGCAAATATTCCAAGCTAGATGAATAGTAGTTGTTCTCTTTATATCTATAGTTAGCTTACTTTAATCTTTTCTGTAGCAACAGAGAGATTTCTGTAATTCCTTCAGAAAGTATGGGAAATAAATAACATTTAGGTCATGCAATTTTAGTTAAGTATTGATTGGTTAAGGAAATGCTAGCTTGAGAATAGTAAAGGAGAATTATGAATAAACCCATTGATGTTACTATATTTCTGTCCCCCCAGGACAGAAATCACTCATCCTTCTTTATGTGCTTATATGTGTGATTATATATGCATTTTCAAATTTCACTTATCGTCAAAAGAGTAGGCATGTTGATTTAGCTCTGACTTTCAATTTCAATTCCATTTTTATAGAAAACAACTGAGAAGATTAAATTTTAAAACAGGGAAATGAAACAATTTTTCCCAATAAGTGATGAAAAATGAAAGGGGTTCTGATTTTTTTCCCCATCTACAGAAATCAATAGCTGGAAGCAAAAGGAGAAAATTGCAAACTTTGTTCTGCTTTCTGCTGCAAAGGGATCTTTGCTAGGGCTTTGCTGGGACAGCGGCCCTGTATCAGACTCCCAAATGGGAAATCCCTGAGCCATCATTTTCCCCTTTGCTCAAGGGTAAGTTCTGATGGCCAAATATGGAGAAGGGACTGATCCTTACTCTGGGAGGGTCAGCGATGAGAATTGCTTCTGAATTTGGCTGTGAAGTCTGGAAAAGTGTTCGAATGACTTTCTGGTCAGGCTTTTCCTGTTGTCACTGAGCGTCACCTCGATCAGGTACAGCTGCAGATAAATAGGCAACAAAACAATCAAAAGATGGAGATATAACTTGCCATACGTCCTAAAAGTGGCTTTTAGTAAATTAAACAAAGAATGAAACTTTCTGTTAAAAAAATTATCGTCAGAGCTGAAGGATGCAATTTGTAGCGCCATGATGACCTATAAATAAAACGTATGAGGGTCCCAAAATTTTATGTTCTGGCAACATTGCCCAATTTCTGCTGTCCTTTCTTGCAGACACTTTAATTAGCTCTTGATTTGTAGTCTAACACAGGGTAGGAACTGTTCCCTCTGATGGGTCTCCACTGATAGCTCCAGTTGTTATGAATTTTCTTAAGACATCTCCTTAATGGCAGTCCTTCACTCGAAACCGATTTTCAATTTGCACAGTAAAACGCACTATGCTTTAACAGCTACGTAGAGCAGACCCCGTGGCACAGATTTAGACTTACGTTGCCGTGCGTCTTGCTGAGCCCTAATATTGTGGCTCTCTGAATTGTCCTGGTTTTGTGCAGGGTGCAGGATTCCCAGGGAAGAGTCTGAGGGGCAGGTTTGGCAAGGCTTATGGCTGGCATCTGTGCCAGTGTGTGGATCAGGTTATTCAACTTAACTGGGAAGCACTCCAGACTTTCCTTTATTTTCCTAGAGAAGCAGAAAAGAAGACAGTAAGGAACACTCCCTCTATCGGCTGGCTGTGTCTGTGACTGAGCCCTGTGTTTGTCAGATGCAGATGTGTTTGGAAGGGTGAGATGGAAATTCATATATACAAACCCCATGTATTAAATATTGTGTTCCTAAGCATTAAGTTCACACCTGGAAGTTATTAGGAAGTAAAGAAGACACTCTTTTGTTTTGGGCCAGTGAGATGGCTCAGCAGGTAGTGGTGCTTGCTGTTGAACCCGAGTACCTGAGTTCCATTCTACGGGGTGTCCTCTGACTTCTGCATGAGTTTTGTGAGCACAGAAGTGAACACACACACATACACACACACACACACACACACACACAGAGAGAGAGAGAGAGAGAGAGAGAGAACAGATTGGCATAGGGCATAGCATCACATCTGTAATCCTAGTATTGAGGGAAAGAAGACAGAGAAGAGGGAGGGAAACAGATACACACACACACACACACACAAAGATACACATACAAACACACACACAGATACACCTACATACACACACACACAGAGACTCATGCAGAGAGAGATATGCAGACACATGCAAAATAAATAAATAATAAGTTAAAATTAACAAGTTATTTTGTTTCATTTTTTAGAGATTCTGATATTAAAACAAATTAACTGTCGACTTATACTCATGTACTTATATACATTCATAAATTAAACCTAGAAATCGAGATAGGGCAAAAGCTACCTAACACCAGGTGTGTGCAACCTATAGCTCATGTGCAATCCAAAACAAAGTCACAAACGTACAACATTAGGAGACTGCTTCTGGTAATGCCTGTGTTTGGCTCTGCAGCATGAACTCTGTAAAGGACATCATGTTGCTGTGTCCAAAGGTTGAACGTGTTACGCCCACTCCCGCCCTTCCCTGTAAAGGACTTTCAAAACCATGTCTCCATGCTCACTGTTTAGGTTTATCTTATCCCTGTGTACTTTTATTCCTCTATAAGGTGACTTAGAAAAATCTAGCACACTCTCACAATGTACCTAATGTTTAAGTATTTTATATGAACTGTATTTTACTCTATAGTCCTGTTTTTGACTGCTTTGATTTTTGTGTTTGATCTTGAAACCATATTTTTTTGTGTTCCAGTGATACAATGATCTCTTAATATAAAGTTCTCATTCTTTCTTTTATGATATTTTCTATTTATTCCCTTCTAAGAAGAATACTGAAAATTTCTTTTAGCTCTCTCTTATCCAGAACGACTGGGTATGATAATAAACTCATCATTACTAGAAAGTAAATAGCATTTTCCTTCTCTCTGTTACATTTCCCAGTTTCCATTGGCATCGTTTTTAAAGATTTATTAGTGTGTGTGTGTGTGTGTGTGTGTGTGTGTGTGTGTGTGTGTACGTGTGTGTGCCCTGTAGGATTTTACACTGGATATGAACAATATCACTTTCTATCCCATAAAAATGTCTAAATGCTTCTGGATTTTAATAAATTTCTTCTTTCCATTGAGGTAACAGATAAGGCTTTCAGTTTAATTGCTTAGTGGCTGTTTGAATATTTATCTTGTAATCATTTATCCAAATTCTTTATCTGAATTCTGTTCTTGTTAATCCCTTGGGATTGTTTTAGTTGTTCCTCTATTCAACACTATCACATATTTTCACTCTCAGCGAGGGGACTTCCTGTTTCCCTTGGCAACGGAATGCTTATAACTTTTCACTTTCAGAAGTATGATATTTATCTACATTTCCTTTCATTGTGAGCTTGCTAATGTTTTCTGACATGAATAGATATAATCAAGTGTGAAATTTCTGGGCTGGCATGCATCAACATTATCATACAATAGCCCCTTTAGAACCAATCCACCAGGCCCTCCATGGTAACGATGTACTTCAGTCATGTTTAATAATTTCCCCTAACTTTAGCAATATTCAGACTCATCTATCTTTTCTAGTCTCGAGCTCCTTTTGGGTAAGTTTCAAATTTTCTCATTATTATACCTACATCGATGCTAAAATTTGCTAAAGTCGTTGAAATACAGCTCTGGTCCCGTTATTCATTTCCACACTAGTCATTATTTTTGATGATATTCTTGGAACTTATAAATTCATGAGTCTATGCTGTGCTAGAGAGCGTTCACTTTAAAGACAGGAAAATAATGGTAATAGTACGAGCACATTACCAGTCGTTGTTTATGAGTATTTGTCCATACCTTCATCGGTCCATCCACCCAGCCAGTGCTCACGGGACACTTTTATTATTAGTGTGGCAGGCTCCACACTCAGTCCTCACGAACTGTCCATCTTAAGTTCTGATGCTCACACTTCGTACTTTCCACCTGTGTGGGTGTAGCGCTCTGTTCTCACATCGTCTAGGGCTTAGTAATCTTAGGAAACCTTGGGGCCCTCTGAGTGGTTTTTGCTTTCTTTAGTGTGTGTGTGTGCGCGCGCGCGCACACATGCATGTCATGTATGTAGGTGCTCTTGGAGGCCACAAGAGGGCGTCTGATCACATGGAGCAGGACTTACAGGATTTATAGGATTTACAGGGTCCTGGAGACTGAAATGTGTTCTTGGGAAGAGCAGCAAGTGTTCTTAACTACAGAGCCATCCATTTAGCTCCTTGCCCTGTGGTTTTGAAGCAAAATTTCATTCATATCTACCTCTTCTTACAGGCACCATATCACCCCTAGCTGTTAAATATTACCCACCCAGGAGTTGGCCTTGACAGCAGTAGGATTCTAGCGTCTTAGGTCTGATATATCCAGAAGATAACATTCACACACACACACACACACACACACACACACACACACATGCACGCACGCATGTATACACACATGCACACACACACAGCGGCCAGCTCTAGGACTCACTCTGTTTAATGGCACTATTAGCAGGAGTATATGCAGAACAACTTTTTGGTTTGGGTAATAGCGTATGTGTGAGTGTGTGTGTGTGTGTGGGGGGGCTCATGCATGTGAGGCAAGCATTCTATTACTGGACTATGTCTCTAACCTTTATTCAGAGTTTTTCTTATACTAAAGATCCAAAGCTACAGCCATAAGAATCTCAGCTCTGAGGAAAACCCTGGTACTCTTGAGAAAGAATGTCTAACTCCCCTGATAGGCACAGCTCTGTGCACTGGGGCACACGGTGATGGAGCCAGTCAGAGCTTTGCCCTCAGGAAGTCTATGTCCTTTGGCAAGTACCTCACTAAATGCTTTGTGAAAGGCAGTACAATTCTTTTCTCTGTGGATAAAACCAAGATCTATGAAAGATTCAATGCCACCAATATATATATATATATATATATATATATATATATATATATATATATATATTCTAGGAAGTTGTAATCAACGAGTCCCATTCATATTTCTCTGATTCCCAAATCTTAATTCTGTTTATGAGTTTTTGATAAGGAAAAAAAAACTTTCAATTTTGTTTTACCGAGGAAAATAATCCAGTAGTTTTAGTGGATTTCCCTGGTGTGGTAAATGCTATAAAATGTTTAGGCTTTGATTTTTACTCAGGAATAGCCTGTAGTCATAAGAATAAAAAGCCTAACAAATATTTCCAGAAAAATGAAGAGATCAATAATCACTACATTTCTTAAATATTAGACCATGTTTTTTCTTTTTTGTTTGTTTGATGTAAATTGTCCTCAAACTTAAGCTCCTTCTGCTTCAGCCACCACATCTCTGGGATTGCAAGGCAAGTGCCACTACGCCCAATTCGTTCTATCTTAAAATGTATATAATCTGTATTTTACTTCACAGTAAATGTGTAGTTTCACATAATGTTTTATATTAATAGTTTAATCTTCTTCTCCTCAGAAACAACTGCCTCCAAGAACTGCCTTAGGAATGTATGCATGAGAAGATACTGAATCTGTAACTCTGATGTTTATAGCAACTTCTGGAACATTGCAAATCACTTTTTAAAATTAAATATTATATTATTGCATGTGTATGGTGTAAGAATATATGTGTATGTGCTATCCATACATATGTGCATTATACATATCTGTGATATGCTTGTGGCCTACATGCGTGTGTGTGTTTGTGTGTGTGTGTGTGTGTGTGTGAAGGTCAGAGACCAGCACTAGATGTCTTCTTCAATTGTTTCAACCTTTTGTGACCAAGTCTCACTGAACATGGGGCATACCAATGTGATCAGCTTGCCATCAGACCCAAAAGGTATCTTCCTGTCTCTGCCTCCCTGGTGCTTGGATATAATTGCATACTATTCAAGTCACCTCCAGTACAAATGACATAATTTTGCAATCACATTTACATGTATGAAGAAAACCTTTCCAGATAAGCCATAGTAGCTACTAGGGAATGTTAATTTTAGGGTGTGGACCAGAGTGATGTTCCAGGGTATGGGCCAGAGTGATGTGTGAGACCCTGGGGAATTTCTATGTGAGCATGTTTCTTTTCACAGTTTAAATTATTTATATGCTTCAGTGGCTTGACAGAATATGTGTTTTTCTGACCAATTCTTTTATTTCTCCAAAAATTGATTGTGAAGACTTTGTAAGAGTTACCCTCTGTGTTTCTACTTACATTGTAACTTTATTATTTATAAACAGAAATGACTCAAACTCACCAAGAACAAATTTTTCTTTCATTTAAATTGTATGCTTCATTTCGTTGCGGGGATTCTGGTATGTGTAATAAATAGATTATTGTACTATTGCTTTTACATTGGGATATTGATTGTCCAGCTTTCTGCTTTGCTCAGCAGTTTGGGGGGAATGACAAATTGATGCAGCTTTGTCACAATTTCTTTATTCCATGAGGAAAAGCAATAATCCAGCATTCAATTTGTAACTTCCAAAATGTCTGGCTAGCACTTTTTATACTTATGGCATATAAAGTATGCCATCACACAATTCCTATTTCATTATATATGACAAATATATACATATTTTATTATATATGTGTTCAAAATATTCAAGCACATCTTTTAAGCAAAATGGTGTTATTTAAAA